AAAAAAAAAAAAAAAAAGACTGCGAAGAAAAACAAATAACATCTGTTGTGAAAATTTTTCAATTTTTTGGACTTCAGTGAATTATGCTCCACGCAAAAAATTTTCTGTCATTCCTATCTTTTCCCCACTTCAAAAACAGAAGTTAATTGACTACTGAACCTTATTCTGTTTACAAGTTTAATTCATTCCCTCTATTTTGAAAAAAATTTACATTTTCAAACAAAAAAAAAAAAAAGAAAGAGCAGAAAATGAACAAGGTTAGTGCAAAAGTTTTAAAAAATGGTGATGAACTATTGCTCCGTCCCCAATCAGATCAAAACTGGTTTCTGTTTTAAGTCATCTGACAGCCACCTAACAACTAGCCACCTAACTAACTAACAAACCAATCAACCAATCAACCAAACCAACTAACTGATTGCTGACTGGCTGACTTTGATTCAAACCTGAAAAAAATTCTTTTGTTCTGTTTTTATCATTTCTATTCATCTTCGGTTACAGCACATTTTTTCATCATATTTTAAGGAATATATGTAGAATTTTTTTAACGACATTTTCTAACGTTCAAAATCTTATTTCTGTTTAGCTGAACAAAAGTGCCAGTATCAGCAAGTACCAACAGTAACTGCAGCAATAAAACAACTTCAAAATCCAACTAAACGTGATACTCAGAAGATCAAAACGACTGCTTGGTATCGGCTTCACTAAGTTAATATTTACTCAAAAAATTTTGCTACTTTTTTTTTGCCAGTTCAAAAATCATAATTCTAGCAACCAGAACAACCAAACCAACTAAATTACTTCATCTTCGTCATTTTAACGTGCATGTGAAATGCTGAGGAACAAAAACTCCCAGTTCAACCAAATCTACTTTTGTTTTCTGCGTACAACATAACCCAGCTTATGTTAAAGAGCAGCTAATACAATGTAAACTGAAAAGCTGCTGATATGCATACCAACCCACTGATAAAGGTTAGCATATGACCAACCGATACGAAACCCACCGGTCTTACCGACCAAATTGGTTCTCAACGAGTACAAAAAAAAAATTTGCGAAAAAGGTATCAGTTATATCTAAGATTTATTTGAGAGCCTCACCTGAAACCTTTTTGTCATTTCTTCGAAACTAAGTTTTACCGACAATTAAGGCCTATGATGCAATAATAACGATTGATAATTAATTTAAAATCATATAACCAATCAAACAATATTAGCAAGTAAACCTTTTGCAATCTAAAACTTATCTTACCACAAATTAATCTGACTCTAAATAGGAAATGAAACGATGAGATGGAAAAAAGAGCTAAAAAAGAGCGAGAGGAAAATAAGATCTAGAACAATTTCTCCTGGAACTAA